ATTATATGCTGACAATTTAGATAATGTAGAAGCCATATAAATGTATCACGTTCCAAGCCTGCATCATAAAGAAGTGGAGAGTGCCTGAAAGGTAGGCACGGTGGGGCGTGCTTGCACCTGGCAAGGCATGGGTGCCAAGACAGTCGAAAGCAAGCAACTAGTTAAACTTCAGAAGCATTCTTTCTAGAAACTGCTAGGTCCATCACTAACTCTGGTTATTCACCTTAACACCAAAAGTTAGGCACAAGATACAGCTTGAGGGATGGGGAGATGGCTCAGTACAGTAAGCGCTTGCCTGGCAAGCACATAGGGCCTGAGTTCAATCCCCGGTTCTACACACACCCACACACACACAAAAGTGGGCGGGGCCTGGAAACCTTTTCTTGCCGCTGCCCTGCCCTAGTGGCCCCTCCTCCCCACTGTGGGACTGCCCACCCTCCGCGCCCGCAGACTATAAACTGCCACCTCTGGAAATGGTGAGCCAAAACTTACACTGTGGGTGTTGAGTATTTTGTCTCAGCAAGGGGGGTAAGTAACTGAGACACATTCCATTATGCCAGAAAATAGCATTACAAAATACCATTCAAGAAAACAACAAAACTATAAAATAAGTAGAAATATTACCACAGAATGCAACATTGTTGTGTAAAATCATTTAAAATTCCATTAAAGAACAAGTTTTTCCCCAATGTATAAATTCAATGAAAGACCAATAAAAATCCCAAAAAGCATTAAGAAAAAATATGGAGATGCAAAATTCCATGAATAGCTAAACCAATTTTGAAAAAGAGCAAAAACGTAGCACCTCGCCCATCAAGGATTTCAAGTTCACAAAGATTTTAGAAGTGTGGTTTTAGGGGCCGGGGAGATGGCTCAATAGACTAAGCGCTTCCCTGGCAAGCGCAAGGGCATGAGTTCAATCCCCAGTTCTGCCAAAAAAAAAAAAGAACTGTGGTTTAACCATAGAAGCAGACTCAACTCTGTGTGCTGTTGTGTCCATGTTGATGCCTGTGGGTTGTGTTTTGCTTTTGTATTTGCACGCATCAGGGCGTGATGAGCACAGGGAAGTGATCGTGAAGCTTTGAGAGACAAGCACTCCCCTGACAACCCAAAACCCACCCCACACAAAACGTCACCACTCCACTAAGTCTGGATACTAAGGCTTCAATTTTTTAAAAATCCTTATATATTAACATCTTTGCTCTTAAAAGAAAAATAACACGCTTGCCATAGGTTTGCCACTACTGGTCTAGGGCCTTGTTACCCGGAAGTGTTTTGTAAGCCAATAGGATGTTTACTTCACCAGGGGACAGTTTTGTTTCTTTGTTCTGTTTTTGGTCTTGAGGATCAAACTCAGGACCTCGTACATGAGCAGGCAGTTGCTTATGCTGCTGAGCTATTTCCCCAGATCAGGAGACAGTTTAAAAATACAGAATCTAGGGCCGGGGAGATAGTGGCATAAGTGCCTGCCTGGCAAGCACAGTCTTGAGTTCAATCCCCCACACTGGAAAAAAAAAAAAAGTAAAATAAAATAAAATAAATTTTAAAAAAGAAAAATGCAGAATCTTGACATCTGCCTCAAACCTACTGAAATTAGAATCTGCACTCAAACAAGGCCCGTGTATATCTTAAAGAGAAACATTTAAAACTTAAAACTCTATTAAATTAAAGAAGAGCTGGGTTAGCTCCACAGCACAAGTGCCTGCCTGGCAAGCACCAAGTCCCGAGTTCTATCACCAGTACAGACAGAAAAACAATAAAATAAAATAAAGGAGTGGTGGCAGCTAAGCAGTGGCAAAGCCAGGGTCAGTCTGAGTTCTACCTGGAATAGCCTTGTCCTCTATCCTCCACTATGTAGACAAGATCCAAGTCCATCCCTAAGACATAAAGGCAACAGTACCATCTCTTTACCCTGAGTCCACCTGACAAAAGTTTTAACCACCGAAAGCATCCAGACCTAGGAATAATGAAAAGCCCACTCCAAGCACTAGCATCAGTCCTACATACGGGGCTTTTGTGAGATCTCAGACCCTTATGGTTCTAATAAACTTAGCATTCTGGCTCCCTGTCCACCAAAGACTGGAAACAGCAACTTTATGGAGTACAGCAAAGAGGAAGAAGTAAAATATGGGCTCAGGGTGAAGTACACAATGAAAATTAATGGTAGAAAGAACAGCCTTGACATTTTCATGGCTAGTTTTATAAATCTATAACTCAGATTTTACTAAGATAATACTCAGGCCTCGCTGCATGATACAATCACCCAAGAAGTTAGTTCTTTTTCAAAAGCATAATAGCCAAGCTGCAATCTCGGGGATTCTGATACACTCAGTCTGGAGTGGGACCTAGGCACAGGTATTTCGTTAGAGCTTCCTAGGTGGATGTCCGAGGTTAGGCCAGTTAGTAAAGGGCTCGTTAGCCACCACACCTATGTAGCTTCTACGTGTCATCTTTACAGCTTACTGCAACTATTGGCAATAGTTAGGATGAACTTGGTGACCAGGATTTCCTACTAAGAGGGAAACACTTTGTATATCTGAATTCCTTTTGACACAGAATAAGATTGTCTAGAATTAAGTGAAACAAATACACATATATTACTCCCATTTGCTAGGGACAGATGCACCCTTCCCCAGAGGTCAAATCTCATCTCACCAGTTTACAAATCACCAGGGGTCTTAATGCAGTGAAGATCTGAGACAGGAGGCCAAGAGAGGGCTCAGATCCTGCGACCCTCATGAGCTCTAGGTGCTCTTGGAGTCCCAGTGGATCATCCCGGCCTGCACAACTCTCTCCTAAATCCTTTTCTGGAATCCAAAGAAGGATGGCTTCCCTGCCCCTGAAGAGCGGATTCCATGGAGGTCCTTGAGACTGAGTGCTCAGATCAGGGCTCAAAACCATAGGCTCTCAAGAACGAGTGTTAGAGCTTTCTTATCCTTTAACTGTTCCTTCCTCCCCCTGGGCAGCTCAGCCTGGGCAGCAAAGGTGGGGCACTTGCTGCCCAGTTGGTGAGGATGGGCCAAGTTCACAGGTGAGTGTGATAAAGCCAAAACTAGCCCTAAGGTGGGCCGTGAAAGCACCAATTAAGGAATGCTGCCCAAATGAGTGTTTTGGGAACATCCACTCGTGTGTCCCCAGTGAACCTGCAGACTAACAAAGAAGAAACAGCCAGGAACAGAAAATTCTAAAGCGAGGCTGACTGGGTCCGGAGCCCCTAGATGAGGAAGGTAAGCGGCTAGGGAGACTCTCTTGTCTGAGACCACACAATAGCTATTGTTTCCCCTCTGGAGGAATTTCCTGGAGCAGAGCTTTGGCCTCCACAGAACTTGTTTTCGAATGCTTCAGTCATCTGATTTCATTTTTTTTTTTTTTTGAAACTTCTCGAATAATTTTCTAAACCCCACACAATAATGATATATACTCTTGTTCAATATTAAGAAGACATTATGCAAAATTAAAGAACTTTTTTTCAAAGTGAGGGAAAAGGGAACCATATTCCCAGAACATCCAGAAACTTATCCAGTCAAGGGAGTTGGTTCTTGTTCCATTCTTTCTTTGTTGCCCCTTGGAAAAATAGAGTAAATGCAAATGAAACAAATTCAGTTACATCCTCAGTCCTAGGGCCAGTTACAGCCTGGCTTCTGCGGCAACCACGTGGCTAGCTCAGCGGCCACACTGGCTCCTTGGGGACCCCTTTCCTTCCGCACAAAACCATCCTAGCGGCACTGTTCTGACCTCAAAGCCCCAGACACGGCTGAGACTTTCTCCAACAAAGCTTATTCCCAAGGCTTTCATCTTATGATGTGGGTATCTGGGGCTGGAAGCAGAGAGCCCTCCACAGGGAAATCATCCTGACGGCTGCATGTTGGAATATTAAACAAGCGCACCACGAGGGACCGCGCTGGAAGAGAGGCTCGCTGGGCTCGCGGCTCCGCCCACCCACGCCGTTCTGGTTGAGCTCGCGGTTCTTCCAACCACGCCTCTTTGGTAGGTGGCCACTTCCGCATCAGCATGGACCTGCCCGGTGGGAGAGCAGCTAGGTGAGGCGTCGGACTGCTACCAGTGGTGCTGTTGGGACAACAGGCCTGGAGCTGGTTTTCCTGTTTCTCAGAACTTCACTTTAATTGTCTTAATGGGCATGTATTACAGCAAAATAAAGGGCAATTGCTTTATTTATTCCTTGTAGTAATTTACAAAGAGATGGATTTGATCCTGGAACCCAGGGACTTTTCCAATCCATTGCTCTTGGGCTCGGAGGGAAGGGCTCCTTTTTCCACATTCATCTCGAACAATACGTTCACTAATGAATTAAAGAGTAACGGGAAAATACATGTTTCTTCAACACCATGTTTCGCAATGGCTATTAGATGACCACAGTATCATCAAAGCCATGGAAAATGCACGTCCTACGTGTGGGGGAGAGCATGGTGCTTCTCGAGAAAACTGATTGACACCCCAAAACCCCAGGCTGAAGGTGATTCTAGGGAGCTGAGAAACCAGACCTGGGTCAGACTCCTGCGCTCTTTTCTGATCCCCGAACGTGAGAAAGGGCCCTGGCTCTGGGCTGCTGCGGAGCATCCACTCTGAAGCACTTCAGGGTAGGGCTTGACTAGCTACCGCACAGTGGCTGGAGCTTCTACCACCAGACAAAAGGGCAGAGACCCGAATACCTCTGCAGCAGGAAGCTGAAGTGCAAACAAGGGAAGGCTGGCTGAGACCTCGGACCCGGTGGGGTGCTCCACCCTGGGTGACCCCAGGTTTCCAGGGTGCACTTCTGGCCTCCGGCCCCGCCCTCTCACCTTGTGCCCCGCCCCTCTCCTCGCCTACCTGCTACATGCTGCCACGTGCGTCCCGCCCACCCACCTCCTGCTCCGCCCCTTGCCCCGCCCTCCAATGGGGGGTGCACCTGTGCCCTAGGCTATAAAGCTGCAGCAGACCAGCCCAGGGTCAGCGAGCGGTCTCTCAAGGTTGCACTGTTGTTCTTGCACTGCTTAGGTGCCATGGCCCAGTCTACGATCTTCAACAGGCAGGTAAAGCACATAACGGAGCACCCCAGTCGTCTCTGGATATGGGACAAGGCCACGTTCATGGATGAGCAGCGGCGCACCTGGCTGCCTGTGATCCTCAAGGTACAGCCTGCTCTGGGGCCGCAGGAGTCCTCCTGCCCTGCAGGGTGCAGGGGTGGGGAGCCCTTTCCCCTGGTCTCCCAGCACTCTCTGAAGCTGCTTTGAGCTGGATTCTGCCGGTTGCGTTTCCCCCAGGCCAGCAAGTAAGGTGGGCACACCAGGAGGGGCATGAGCCGCGTAGGACCGTGAGCTTCCGTGAAATGGGGCTGTCTGGGCTTCCGGGTTCCAATCCATATAACAGGAATGTGCTTAAGTGATTGGTGCACGAGCCAGTTACCATAATCTCCTTAACCTGGCCCAGAAACCTCTAATTTGCAAAGGCGTTTTCTAGTTTGAGAACCAAGGCCTAGGGCGAGGGACACTCACGCTGCCCTGTGCTCTGGACGAACCTATCAACTAACGCACAGACAGCAAAGCCGGTGTGGAGTGTGTGCTGCCGAGGATGGGGATGGATCTTTAGTTATTTCTTTGAAAAACTGTATAACTCAAAAAAATAATAATAACCCTCGAAACGTGGCTGGACTGCAGCCATTCGGTAGACTGAGGCAGGAAGGTCACAATTCTGAGGCTTGGCTGGGCAAACTAGGGAAAGCCTGCCTCCACATTTAAAGAAAGATAAAAAGAGCGAAAGCTGTGGATGTAGCTCCTTGCTAGAGCACTTGCGCACGTGCATGAGGCCCCAGATTCAATCCCTGGTCCTGGAAGACGTTTCCTTCATGCAAGTATTTTCAGTCAGAGCTTGGGTTTACTTAAAGCAATTGAAGCCTTGGTGGCAAAACTCCCCGTACATAAACCAAGGAAAGGTGGAAAACAAAAATTTAAATATATGATAGTAGAATATTTATGAAAAATGACAGCAGATGCAGAGTGTTGATTTGTGGTCAGCCCGGGTTTACAGTTCCAGGCTTTTCACTGCAATCTGAATTTGTGCTTTTATTGTCATTTCCATTTTTTAAATATACATCTATGCTTCTTAAAAATCAATTTAAGTGTTTACTTCTTTTTTGGTGAAGTTTTAAAATATCTTGGTAAATCTCATTTTAAATCTCTTAACTGGGAAATATCTTCTCACCAAAACCATAAATCCAACAGTTTTTCATGGTGTTGGTGTCATCTGAAAAATAACCCAGTAGCAAAATTTGGGGCAGGATTTGCCTCTCGTAGTTGAAAGAAATGATATTTCTATATGTAGTGATTTAGTTAATAAGAAAATGATAACAACTCAAACACAGGTTAAAGGATCTAGAAGACAATGCAACTCAAGAATGGTGATTTTTCAAGGAGCTTACATCATGTAGAATGATCTGTTTGTGATTTTTTGAACTGATTGATTTCATTTGGCAGGAGTTTTTATAAAACTGCGTACCTCGGAGGAGAAACTCATTGAGCAAGTAATAGTACCTGATGCTCGCTGAATAAAGATGAAGAAGCCCCTAGACTCACTGAACAATCATGGGTGGGATGGTTTGCAGGGATCATGTTGTGAAGTTGACACGGCTGGGAGGCAGACAAGGGAATAAAGCTGGTGGTTAAACTATGTAGGAAGAACAAGCATGGGAGGCAGTGGTGCTGTTGGCCGTCATTTATCTTTCTAAATCTTTGGGGCCTGCCTCTTACGGGTATCATAGAGTTGATTTTTTTTCCCCTTGAATTTTTAAGTAAAGCTCAGTTTGAGTTATTGAGAAAGCTGTGCTGGGCCTCCGTTCAGTCGCACGTCCTGTCTGTCTGTGATAGACGGGCAGACCGGAGCAGCGCTCTGCCAAGCTGTGAGCTGGGTAGCCCTAGGAGCGAGGTTCCCGGCAGGCAGGACGGTGGTGAGAGGGGTTGGTGGGAGCAGACATAAGTGTGGCGGGTCCCAGAAGCAGCCAGGAGGCCTGTGCGGCTGGAGCTGAGTGGAGGGAGGTGGGGCTTGCCGCGTGGGCCTTGCTGCGTGGGCCTTGTGGACGCCAGTGGGCCGTGGGAAAGGCGCTGAATCGCCCTGCCCGTGATGGGAGGCATGGAGGAGCTGTGATTTTCATCTGAGGCTGAGCTGTGGGGCCCAAGACCGGCAAGGCAGGACACAGCTGCTGCAGTGCAGGAGATACCAGTGGTAAAGGGGAGGGAGGGAGGGTGCAGAATGTCACTAGAGCCTGGTATCCAGGGAGATCTTACCTAAACGAGGCAATAGAACAGATTTTAAAAAGCTCCAATTCCAAGTAAAAGGGGACCAAGCCAAGGGCCGTGTGGCGTGCGCTGGCACCAGGAGCTTGGGAACAAGCGTGCCCCTCGTGACCTTGTCTGCGTGGCTGGCTTTGTGCCATCCCAGCCACAGCCCCTGACACTGCCCGTGGCTGGCATCAGACACAGTGACCACCTGCATCTTTCGCTCGCGTCCGTCGGCTCAGGCAGGGGTTGCAGGTAACAGAAAGGACCCTGCACCTGGAGGACCCTGGTGAGTGGGACCTGAATGTGTATCCATCTTTCCTCTGCAGTCAGAGACCAACATGCAGGTGCTCCTGCGACAGCAGACAGTCCCTGTGGGGGACCCCAAGAGCCCTACCCAGCTCGGCCCATCCCTGCTGCCCCTGATGTGGCAGCACTACCCCTCTGAGAAAAGATACCAAGACAGCAACTTCGCCTCCTGGCACGTAATGTACCATATCAAGGCAAGTGTGGGGCTGCCAAGCACAGGCGGGCGTCTAGGGTGGCCCTGCCCTGTCCACTCTGTGCTTGTTTTTGCTTCCACCCCAGGACCAAACACTGTTATAGGGGAGGGATTCACAATGGCATGTTTATAAAGGGCTGGCCCAGACAGGAGTTAACACTGAAGGGCTGGCCGTCCCTTGAGGACCCCAACAGAAGCCTTTGGGAGCCAGTGAGAGAGTGATAGCTCAGCAGATTAGTGCCTGTGGAGGCATGCATGGGGACTATGGTTTGATCCTGGACTGCAGGGCGTGCCGGCCCCACCCCTGGGCAAGCCTGTAATCCCAGTGCTGGGGAGTCTGAAAACAGGATTATCACTATGGGTCGAAGCTGCAAAGTGAGACCCTGTACCAAATACACAAAAGAAGAACACTTTACGGTACAGGAAGTTCTCATTGATGGCAGTGACAGGCTAAAGCCGTGCCACACCCAGGTCCTGCCAGTGAGTACCTAGGCTAGAACAGAGCGGGGTCCTGGGCTCTGATCTGATGACCCCTCTCTCTCCTTCTCCTCCTGCCCTCAGTTCTGTGACATGGAAGACATCCTTCTGGAAAAGGTGGCAGACCAGGAAAAGGTAGACGACCAGAAGGTGCCAGACCCCAAGAAGGTGTCAGACCCTGAGAAGGTGCCGGAACAGGAGGTGCCAGGCCATGAGGTGGTGCCAGACCCAAAGAGTCCCTGATGTGGTAAGCACCCAGAGCCCATCCCTGAACAGCCTCCTGGAAAGAAGGAGCCCCACTCCTACACTGCCACCCCACAGGGTCCCCAGGTGGGCAAATTCCCAGGGATGCCCCATCTTCACTACCATCTGGAGAGCCACAGCCTTCTAGGCAGCCCCATGGTCCCAGCCACAGTGCCCTGGGCCAAAGCTGGCACCTACACTGACAACACTCAGTGATAGAAGAGCACATTGATCAGTCATCATGTTCTGTGGCCCCGTGCAGGGTGCAGTGAGGCCAGCCCCGGGAAGCCAGCCCCAGCAAACTCCCTACGGTCTTCCCTTCTGCCTCTGACCCTGTTCTCTCTCACCTCTTCCCAGGTCTTGCAGTTCCACTCTGCTGGCCCTGGGCCTGCAGTGCACGCCTGTGCTGTGTTCATCTTACTGACTGTTCCTGTGTGTGAGTGACTCTCCCTGTGCAGGGAGGAGATGCCCGGCCAGAGGATGCACCCTGCCCCGGCTGCTGGGCCTGCCTCCCGCCCTGCAGGCTGCCCTGGCAAGCCGCACCAGCAAGGAAGCCTGGCCCCGTTATCTCCCCCAGAGCCAAACCAAACCAGTGCCTCCGGTTTTCCCAGCTGGAAGATGATTTTCAGTTTCTCTGGCCCTCCCAATGTTTCTGCTCATACCCAGGGACCGTCTCTGCTCTGTCCCCTCAGCTCTGCATCTGGGTTGGGTCAGCAGCCTCTCCATGTGCTAGGCCTGTCCATACCTGGTCTGCAAAGTCTCCTTCACCCCACAGGCCCATGGCCCTGCGAGAGGCTAGACAAGCAGTTGCTGGGGGGCCTCTGGGTTGTTCATCTTAGAAGTGAAAATGGTTAGTTTCCCATTGGACGGGGACCCCTGTGGACACATACAGGCCTCTTGAGGTTGGATGTGAACACTTGGTTGTAACGTTGACTAATTAAATGAAAGATGGTTCATATAAGTTGTGCTGAATCTGCTGCTTTCTTTGATGTCCTGGTGGTGAACAAGGAGAATGGGCAGTCACCCTGACGCTGCATCAGAACGCTGCACAAGAAAGAGTGCCGGGGACTTTGTACACTTGTGACGCTTTGCAAATAGCACTGAAGGTTTCCTCTCACAGAGACCTCTCAATGCCCCAGTGTTCCTGGAAGTACAAAGACCCTTAGAGCGAGCTCAGAACCGAGTTATTGGCAGCTCCTGGAGTCACACCCATGCCTGGTCTCACCCTGTCATTCCTGCCTCTGCGATCCCTTGGCCCAGGTATGTCCTTGCCTGGGAAGCTCCTGCAGTCCCAGTGGGAGATTCTATCTGGGATCGTCACCACCGTTTGGACCCTGACCGGGCTCCTTCATTTGCATGACTCATGCAGGGTGTAGCACTGCCCACCCTGTCCCCGCCTGACTCGTCTGCTCCTGCACCATCAAGCAGCACTGCAGCAGGAGGAGGGGACACCTTCCAGAGAGCTAGCCAGGAAGCCAGGAGAGTCCTGGGTCCCACACCTGTGTGTCTTCAGTCCACAACTTCATTGCAGAGACACGGAAGGGGGACACGTGCAGGGTGACCCAAGAGGTCGGAAGGGGTAGGGCTGGGTCCTCGGAAAGTTGCTTGTGGAACTCTACAAGAGAAACACCTCGAACAGAAGAGAAACTCATCAAGGTGATGTCTTATCTTAACCCTTGCCTTTTGCATTGCAGTCTGCCAGAGCAAGGCCTGCAGGATGCCTCTTGGGGACAGCCTGACGGCGGTGACTGAGCAGGAAGAGTGTGGGAGACCTCCCAGCTATGCCTGGGCCGGGCATCCGTTTACCAAATACTGCTCCCCACCAGGAACTCTGCGAAGCGCTCTGGGTACAGTAGCAAGAGGAGCAGGCCGGGAACACGCTTCCTTACTCTCAGCAGTAAGTAGAACAAGGAGACCGAGGGCAGAGCAGGAATGTGGTGTCAAGGATTTTTACTCTCTTGCGTCATTAGCGCATATTAGCACATAACGTTCACGTTGCTTGTGTGGAGCTGGTGCCTGCTGGTGTCGCCCCTCCATTGCTTTCTCCTCCCCTTTCTCATTTCCCTTCCCTCCATCTCTTCATCCCTTCTGTCATGGCTTGGGAGTTCTGCAAGGGGAACAATACTGTACAGGACATATTTAATAAGATTATTTTACAGGGACTTACCCAAAGAATCGCAGACAAAAAGAGCAGGAAATCAGTGCACACACTAGAGGCCAAAGAATCTCACCGAGGGCCTGGATCCCACAGCAACGTTCTCTGTAATTCCAGCTGAGGACCCAGAACTCCTAACAGCGACTCAGCTGGAGGCCGAGAGCACAACGTCTCACGCTGGTGTATTGCAGTGGGAAAGCCAAAGGTCAGTGGTGGAAGCTAGAAAGGCTGTTAGCAGGGTGAAGGATCTGTACTGGAGCCAGGAAGCAATGCTCAAGGTACAAACCACAGCCACAGGGACCACGGTTCGATCCCTAACAGCACTGCTGTGCCAACCCTGCCCCCAGGGTAGGCTGAGCCTGCCACAGAGTCTGGGCATAGTGGTGCATGCCTGTAATCCCAGCACTGGGGAGGCTGAAACAGGAGCCTGAGCTATGTAGTGAGACCCCGTAACAACCAAATAAATGAAAAAAGAAAAAAAAAAAAAAGTACCACAGCCATCTTCAGGAACAGTGAGGTCCCAAGAAGACAGCCAAGCCCCATCAGGAAAACCAACGCGACAAGCTTCTCCAGGAGATGGAGCTGTGCACCATCCTCCTCTCCAGAGCCAGGAAGCGATGCTCAAGGTGCGAACCAGTGCTCCCCCAGAGTAAGCCAAAGCCATCCTCGGGGACAACACAGTCCTGAGCTTGTCTTCCAACGAGAACAACCAAGTTCATCAGGAAACAAAGCCAGCATGACAAGGTCCTCCAGCAGAACAACCCAGGAGAGGTAGCAGCTTCTCCAAGCAGCTTCCCTGACAGCCTCTCAGCAGCCTCTCCAGTTCTGCCTCCTCTTCTGCTGCCGGCAGGACCCCTCAGGTGGGCGTCCCGTGCCCAGCGCCACCCGAGCTCACTTCCGCTGGGTGTAACAAGCCGACCACCAATTGGCGACCACCACACCTTCCCCTTTGAGAAAGATCTCTCTCCTTACTTTCCATTATCTTTTATTTTGTTCTTCGTACCTTGGGTTTCCATAGAAGAGAAACCACATGCTGTTTATGCTCAGTGCCTGACTTACCTCCATAGAAGATTTGGAGATTGTAAATTTGCTTGTGTTCACTATGTTTTTTTACATGCCGCAGATTCTACTGTGTTGCTTTCATTACCGTGACTTCCAGGAAAGCCTGTATTTTTCCCGTTTCCTCTAGGCTTATGAGGTTTGCCCTAGACCAGTGATGGCAACACTTTTAGAGCTTCCAGTGCTACAATAGCAGTACCACAGCATGCGCGCCACGTGCCCGCCACCACTGCCTTCAACCTGGGTTTAAGGAAGCCTGCCCGTCCCTTTCCCTTTCTTTTTGATAAGGTCTTGCTATATTGCCCAGACTAGCTTCAATGTTTGACAGTCCTCCTGCCTGCCTCAGCCTCCCAAGTAACTGGGATGGTAGGGGTGCACCACTGTGCCCAATTTAGGAAGAATTCTCAAAAATTTTTCAGATAGGGGATGTAGCTCAGTAATATAATGTGTAGTCAGCAAATGCAAGGCCCTCGGTTCAATCCCTAGCAGTACTCAAAAGAAGATTTGAAGTAGAGGGCCTTTTGTAACTTTCATTTTTAATTTATAGCTTATTACCCAGAAATCAGGATGTTATACTTTTTAACTTGCCCACATCTTTTATGTGGCCTAACACACTCAGTTTATGTGATGTTCCCTGCACATGCGTGAAGAACGCGCTTCCCTCACCTGGGTGCAGAGATGGGATCCCTGCTGTGGCCAGTACGCCTAGACGTCTCTGTTCGCAGTCATTTCTCTTAGCCTAGAAAATTATATAAACACTTGCCATGAGGGGTACAGCTCCATCTTCTCTTTTAATCTCGGGCATCTTAAGCTTCCTAAAGTTGTTGTAGTACTGGACGTACAAGTATTGATTGGTGTACCTTGTGAATTACAGCCTTTGGGCCTTCGTCTTGGAGGATTTCCTGACACGCTCTCCACTGTGGCCTGTCGCAAGCTGCGTGTTTGCTTCTGTTAGCCTGCATTTGCCTGGCATCCTTTTTCCCATCATCTGAGTGTCTCTGTTTTAGATGTGTTTTATAAATACATTGCCTGGATTCACTTAGAGGGAGAGGGAGAACATACCTGTGTGTTGATGGGCTGCTGCTGTAACTTCTGAATTGGTGAATTAAACCCATTTTCAATTATTTGGTCTTACTATTATTTTTCTTTGTATATGTATAAAATATTCCTCTATGCTGCCTGTTTTCTAAATTCTTTTTTCTCTTGGCATTGTTTGTTTCCACGGTTACAGTTATCCTGACATCTCGGGATAATATCTTTACTCCATGTTTTATAAACATTTCAGGCAGCTGTAACGCTGTCCAAAGGCCTTTCAGTTGGGGTGGACGTACTCTCTGTATTACCCAGTGAGGTAGTCACAGCTACACACAGCCACACCCGGCTTAAAGTCATGGGACTGAGAAATGGGACTCCAATTTTTATAAATGTTAATTAAGTACAGATAACCACCTGTGACCGACAACCTGTCGGAAGCTGACATGGTTCTGAATGACATTGGTGTTGATAACATTATGTTCCCGCTGTCCCTCTAAAGCACCAAAAGCAATAGCCTTCAAGTGCTAAATGATACCTCAAAGGGCACCCTCAGGCTGGCCTCTGGCTGTTCTCCCCTCTTTTCCCATTTTTGATAGCTGAATTATACCTTCATTATTGGAGAATACAAAAGTAGAGGTTAGACATTCCTAACCCAAACATCTGAAATCTAGCACACTTCAAAATCTGAAATGCTGTGAGCACAACTAGAAAATTATGCACCTGACCTGACTGGGGAGGCCGTGGGCACACTGATGGCTCTGTGTGTAAAGATATCCTGACATGTCAGGATAACTGTAACCATGGAAACAATGCCAAGGGAAAAAAGAATTTAGAAAACAGGAGGCATAGAGGAATATTTTATACATATATAAAGAAAAATAATACTAATGGCTCTATGTGTACAGCTTTATTTTATGCACAAAATCATTGACTCTTATTTGATGTTACCTTCAGGCTACAAGTATAAGATGCATCTGAAACACAAATGAATTTCATTTATAGCCTTGGACCTGACCCTCAAGTTACCTCAGCAATTTATACAATATAGGAAAATCCACCAAAATTTAGAAACTCCAAAATCTAAAATGCTTCCGGTCCCAAAGCATTTCAGGTAAGTAATAACCCAACCTATATACACAGGACAGTATCTTTATTGTCCTCCTCACTGCCGTTATTAGTCCAAATGACAGGCTTC